GTTTACCCTTGTCCTTGTGGCTGCTGTCGTTAGGTGCCATTAGGTCAGTTCCAACTAATAGTGACCCTATGTACAATACAGTGAAACAGTGCCCAGTCCTGGATCATCCTTCCCAATCGTTGCCTGCTTAAGCCCATTGTCACAGCCACTGTGTTAATCTATCTCATTTAGAGTCTTCCCCTGTTTTGCTGACCCTGTACTTTGCCAAGCATGATATTCTTCTCCAGAGATTAGTCCCTTCTGACAACATGATCAAAGTATGAGACAAATTCTGGCCACTCTCGCTTCTAAGGAGCATTCTAGCTGTACTTCCCAAGACAAATTTGTTAAATCTTTTAGCAGTCCATACGTGGTAGATTCAAATTTTTTTGCCAACACCACAACTCAAACATACCAGTTCTTCTGTGGTCTTCTTTATTTATTGTCCAGTTCTCACATGCATGGGGTTACTGAAAATACCAAGGCTTGAGTCAGGCACACCTTATTCTTCAAAGTGACATCTCTGTCTTTAAAACTAAAAAGATCTTTTGCAGCTGATTTGCCCAATGCAATACATCTGATTTCTTGAATGCTGCTTCCACGGGCATTGACTGTGAATCCAAGTAAAATGAAATCCTTGACAACTTTAACCTTTTCTTTATTTTTCATGCTTAATGGTCCAGTTGGGAGGATTTGTTTTATGTTGAGGTGAAATCTATACTGAAGGCTGTAATCTCTGATCTTCATCAGCAAGTGCTTCAAGTGTTCTTCACTTTCAGCAAGCAAGGTCATGCCCTCTGCTGCCGCAAGTTGTTAATAAGTTTCCCTCCAATCCCAACACCACATTTTTCTTCATATAGACCAGCTTCTCGGATTATCTGCTCAGCATACAGACTGATGAAGTATGGTGCAAGACCACAACCTGGCACACACCTTTTTGGATTTTAAACCAAGAAGTATCCCCCTTTTCCTTTTTGAATGACTGCCTCCTGGTATATGTACAGGTTCCTCGTGAGAACAATTAAGTGTTCTAGAATTCCCATTCTTTGAAGCTATCCATATTTGTTACGACCCACACAGTTGAATGCCTTTGCATAGTCAACAAAGCACAGGTAAGTATCTTTCTAGTATCCTTTGCTGTCAGCCAAGATCCATCTGACATTACCAGTGCTATCCCTTATTCCACATCCTCTTCTGAATCTGGCTTCAATTTCTGGAAGCTCTCTGTCAATGCATTGCTGCAATCACTTTTGAATTACCTTCAACAAAATTTTACTTGTGTGTGATATTAATGATATTGTTCAATAATTTTCACACTCTGTTGGACCATCTTTCTTTGGAATGGGCACAAATATAGATCTTTCCCAATCGGCTGGCCAGGTAGCTATCTTCCTCATTTCTTGGCATAAATGGGTGAGTACCTCCAGTGCCGCATCTGTTTGCTGAAACATCTCAATGGGTATGCCAACAATTCCTAGAGCCTTGTTTTTCACCAATTCATTCAGGGCAACTTGGACTACTTTCTTCAATACCATTGGTTCTTGATCATATGCTACCTCCTGAAACAGTTGAACATCAATCAATTCTTTTTTGGTACAGTGACTCTGTGTATTCCTTTCATCTTCTTTTGATGGTTCTTGTATCATTCAATTATTTTGCCATAAAATCCTTCAACATTGTAACTTGAAGATTGAATTTTTTCTGCAGTTTGTTCAACTTCAGAAATGTTGAGCATGTTGCTCCCTTTTGATTTTCTAACTCTAGGTTACTGCATAATACTTTGTCTTCTTGAGCTGAGCTCTGAAACTCCTGTTCAACTCTTTTACTTCATCATTTCTTCCATTCACTTTAGTTACTCTCCATTCAAGAGCAAGTTTCAGAGTCTGTTCTGACATTCATTTTTGTCTTTCCTTCCTTTCTTGTCTTTCTAATGACACTTTGCTTTCTTCATGTATCTTGACCTTGATGTCATCCCACAACTCATCTGATCTTCGGTCACTGGAGTTCAATGTATTGAATGTATTCTTCAGATGGTCTCTAAGTTCAGGTGAGATGTACTCAAAGTCATATTTTGACTCTAATGGACTTTATTTTAATTTTTTTCAGCTTCAACTTGATTGAACTTGCATATGAGGAATTGATGGTCTGGTCTGTAGTCATCCCTTGGCCTTTGTTCTGACTGATGATACTCTGCATCTTCCTCACCTCTTTCCTCAGATGTAGTTGGTTTGATTCCTGTGCATTCCATCTGGAGAGGTCCATGAGTATAGTAACTTTTTATGTTGTTGAAAAGGGGATTTTGACATGAATAAGTTGTTGGTCTTGAAAAATTCTATCATGTGATCTCTGACATCATGCTTATCACCAAGGTCTTATTTTCCAACTACTAATGATTTTCTTTTCCCACTTTCTTTATTTTTTTCCCCAAGGCTGTAAAGCATTATTGAATGCTGACTGTCACATCTTTCTTCTGTGGAGTGTCTGGTGGGTTCAAACTGCTGACCCTCCAGTTAGCAGGCAAGTGCTTAACCACTGTGCTACCATGTCTTCTCAATCAAAGGTATAAAGGTTAAGATTAACAACACATATTCTTTGGGGACACAATTCAATCTGTAACAGGGCTCAATTCATATTCTGACTATTCCACAGTTTTGTCCATGTCCTCACCTTTTTCCAACCATCACCACTATTTTGTTTATATGTTCCATTATTTTTCAATAATAATAGATAATTTAAGCTTCATTGTGATGTTTCTAACTTTTGCATTCTGATCACCTGTAATTATCGATACAACTTGATTGCATACCTGATCAGTTTCTGACTGCGGAAGTTGGTAAACATCTTCAACTTCTTCATCTTAGGCTTTAGTAGTTGGTGCGTAAATCTGAGTAAGAGTAGTATTAACTGGTGCTCCTTGTAGGCATATGAGTATTACTCTATCACCGATAGCATTTTACTTCAGGACAGATGTTGAAATGCTGTTTTTGATGATGAATGCAAGACCATTCCTCTTCAATTTGTTATTCCCAGCATAGCATTTCATTTGATTGTCCAATTCAAAATGGCCATCACCAGTCTATTTCAGCTCACCAATGTCTAGATTACTGATCTTTATGCATCCCATTTCATTTCTGACAACTTAGAATTTTCCTTGATTCCTATTTGTATATTCTATGTGCCAATTAGGAGCTCTGGTAGCATAGTGGCTAAAGCACTTGACTGCTAACCAGAAGGCTGGCGGTTCAAACCCACCAGCCACTCCTTGGAAGGAAGGTTGGGCAATCCTACTTCTGTAGTGATACTGCCTCGGAAACCCAAGGAGGGGTCGCTATGAGTTGGGGCCGGCTCGACGGCACATAACAACAACAACAACAACATGTGCCAATTATTAATGGGTATTTGTAGCTGTTTCTTCTCATTTTGTAGTCATGCCACATCAGTAAATGAACGTGCAGAAAGCTTTACTCTATCTATATCATCGAGGTCAACTCTACTTTGAGGAGGTGGCTCTTACCTAGTTGTAACTGGAATGTCTTGCAGCCTGAGGGGCTCATCTGCTGGCCCTGTCTCAGACAATGTTCCATTGTTAGGTTTTCTGTGGCTAGTTTTTTCAGAAGTAGATCACCAAGCCTTTTTTCCTAGTCTGTCTTAGTCTAGAAGCTCTGATGAAACTTGTCCACCATGGGTGACCCTGCTGGTATTTGAAATACCAATGGCATAGCTTCCAGCAACACATGGACAGCATAATGTCCTTCGCATAATGTAATAATCAAATCTTTTAATGTGGCTTAAAATGTCCTGTATTCTATGTTCTTGCCACCAATTATTTCCAGTCCAAAGGATGTATCATGTTTTCTCACAAGTTCTTGTACATGTAGGTATCTTCTTGAACACTTTCCTATGCCTTTCATTGAGTCAATAAAAAGTTTTTTTTTCTTTTTGTGTCTTTTATATATCTAGTATATAGATTCCAACTCAAAGTTGGACCCCATATGTGCAGAACAGAAATTCATTCCATAGAATTTTCAAGACTGTGACCTTTCAGAAGCAGATTGCCAGGCAACACTTCTAAGGTACCTCTGGGTGAGGATGAACCATCAACCTTTTAGTTAGTGGTCCAATGCTTACCAATTTGCACTATCCAGTGACCCCTGACTTGTCAACACCTATAGTATTACTGTGTGCAAAGTGGTAAGCACATTATATGTATTTAATCACTGAATTCTCAGAATGACCTAAGGAAATTACAACAAAACGTATTTAAGAAATTGCCCAAGGTCAAGAGCTAAGAAGTGATAGAACAGAATTCAACTCCAGAGGCTATCCTCTTAACATGACACCATCACACTGGAAAAAAAAAAAAAAATCCCTACTCTATTACTTCCATTAAGTTGATTTTGACTCAGTGACTCCATAGAACAGAGTAGAACTGCCCCATAGGGTTTCTAAGGCTGTAAATCTTTATGGAAGCAGACTGCCTCATCATTCTCCTGTAGAGTGGCTAATGGACTCAAACTGCCAATCATCTGGTTAGCAACTGAATGCTTTTACCACTGGGTAACCAGAGCTCCTTATCCTTACTTTGGTAAACAACAAATAAAGCAAAAAGCATACAAACTAAAAGCCAAAATTTTGATCACTCAGTTGATTCGTATTCTAGATCAATTTTCTTGAGATTAAGATTTCTGTTCCTTTAAAAAGAAAAATATTCCTGGATACCCTAGAGACCTGTTTCATTAGAGATCAATTTCATTAGATTTTCTTAAGAAGCAGATTGCAAATACATTTCTTTGTTATAATCTAGATGTTTTAAATTAGAATTTCTACATGTGGGAACCAGGGATTGGTATTTCTAATAAATATCTTAGGTGTTTTTGATGTACAGACAAACACACAAAATGTTCTGGGCTTCTTGAATATACTGTATCTAAAGACAGGAAGCATAATTTGTTACAAATATATCCAAATACCAATTTTATTATCTGTATACCAAGTTTAAAGTGTTATCTTTTAAATTTTACCTTTAATTCCTGTTGTGATGTAAGGGAAGAAGAGGTCACCAGCATCTGTGTTAAATTCTGAATTTTCTCAATCTGTACTTTTTGAAGTAAGTCTTTTTCTTCCAAAAGTTGGGCCAGTTGGTCTTTCTCCATTGCCTGGGCCCGGGTCTCTAAAGAAACCTGTAGTATGTAATTTTTAATTATGTTAATATAATTGAATTTATATGTGACCTATGGGAATTATAATTTTTTTTTTTGCCCCATACGGTTTCCAAGGCTGTAATCTTTTATTTATTTATTTATTTTCATTGTGCTTTAGGTGGAAGTTTACAGAGCAGAATTTGCTTTACATTCAACATTTCATGTACATTTGGTTTCATTCCCCAATTACCATACCCAACCCTAACCCACTCTCCTCCCCTCCCTGTCAGTAGCCCTCCCCTCTGCCCCTCAGTTATGCACTCCTGTGTGTCCTGCATTTCCTCCATGTGAATGTTGCCCCTCTGGTGCCCCATGGTCGATTGATCTAAGAGATGCATCTCCATAGAGTATATGGGTGCGTCACCCTGGGTTGAGTGGTCTGCGTGTTTACTATTGGGTTGACAGCCAACCCCTGGGAGTGAGTTTTATTCCAGGCCCAAGGTGTATCCCAGGGCCATAGTATTGGGGGTCCCACCAGACTCCATCAGACCAGTACTTCTGGTCATTATTGTGTTTTTGGATTTTGTTCCACGTTTTTCCTCCCACTCTATCCAGGATCTCCAGTTTTGATCCTCTCCGAGTGGTTGGCCTTGGTAGCTGGTCACCACCGAGTTCTTCTGGTCTCGAGGTCCATCCTGTCCTAGGACTGATTGCTTCCAAATGTCCTTGCCTGTTTTTTTTTTTGCACTCTTCTTCACTTCTGACAATAGGAGACCATTAGCTGCATCTCAGATGGCTGCTTGAAAGCTTTTGAGACCCCATTTGCTACTCACCAACATAGGTTGTGGAACAAGATTTTTATGTATTTTATTGTGTCAATTGCATCTGGTGTCCAATACTACAGTCCTGAGTCAATAGATCTGTTGGATCTCTCTCCCACAATGTCTGGCTGTCTGTGAGGCATTGCTCTATGTCTGTCTTCTGTTGTTTCTGTAAGGATTGTGGGTATTTTGTATCATTGGTATTCATGCAAGATTGGCCTCAGCTGAATCTATCCTTGGTCTAGAGTATAATACTGTTCACTGACCCCCATCTGATCCTCTCAGATGTTTATGTGGTTATCTGTAGCCTGGTGTTTGGTGTTAATGGTAATGCAGTATTGTGGATATACTGGTATTAGCCTTGTTATTTATATCTTAGGTGTACAATTTGGTGTCCTCCCTTTTCCTAATGTTATCATTGTGATCACAGACTCTTCCTATAATATCCCTCCCCTTACCCACATCAGTGTGTGTCCCCAACTAGTCCCAAATTAATTCCTCTCCTTCCCTCCCCACCCCAGTAACCTACAAAGTGGGTTCCCTTCTTTAAGCAAACCCTTCTTTGTCTTTTTACAGTAATGGGAATTGTTGGGAATTGTAATTTTATTGAAAGAAAGTGTACCTATCTCCAGAACAGCAATATGCAGTTACCATAATCAGTAATTTCTCAACTTTAGTATAAGTAACATATGTATTCCTTATCATGTCACTGTTCTATATGCCAAGTATAAGGTTATAACAATGCTGTTGCAGTGATTCTATTAATTTACTAAGAATGTATAAAAAATAGACAGAAAAGTCATAAAAGCAGAGACTGAATACCCACAGCAAAGGAAGAAACATTCTTATAAGACTAGCATTTGATATTAGCTCACTTTTAAAAAGATCAGTAAAATGTAAGATTTTTATAAAATATGAGACCATAGTGATTAAAATAATCAAAGAAATTAGGATGACAAGTTAGTATGCCATGCTATTAGATTGGTATCTTTGGATTAGAAAAGGAATTTAAGATAATGTGAAAACACAGAAGATAGTGTTAAGTACCTATACATGGTTTCTTTTTAAAATCTAATTCCATGGTTTTTTATTAGAATGCAATTTTAAAAGAATTTCTATTTAGCCCACTGAAAATATAAAATTTTGCCTTTTGAAATGGAAAACAAAATGCAAAATAATTTCAAGAAAACAAAACATTCAGTTTATAGTAAATTAAACTATCCCCAAGGTCTGGTATAAATGCTTCCTCCACTCTGAGTTGATTTCTTTATAGTTGAAAATAATTTGTTGCAGCATCACAGATATTTAGAAGTTAAGAGTCTCTGGCATTTGACAGACTTCAATTCTAAATCTGTCCCTATTCTTTACTAAAATACATGGCTCACACATACCTCCTCTAATTGTTTTTTAAGATCCATTATTTCTTTTCTATATCTTTTCAGGAGAGCTTCATCACTTGACACCTCATTAACATAAGGAGTATTCTTCATATATTTAGCAGTGCTGGCAAACTGGGAAAAATGGACAAGAGTGTTAAGTGTTCAAAGCTTAAAACAAACAAACAAAAAAACCCATTTATTTATTTAATAATAATGTTTCCTTCACTCTAAAGTTTTGCTTCAGCCAAAAGTATTCTCTTCTTCCTCTGAAATCTAGTCCACTTTTAAGCCACTAAACTATTAGTTCAGGGCAATCATACTGAAGGACAGGTCTTATCTTCCCTCTAAGACTAAATTCTGTGGCATTAGGGGACTCTATTTTCCATCTTTGTGTTTCTGATAGTGACTTGATCCAATGCTCAAGAGCCTTAAAGCAATGTTTCTCAGAGTATGTGGACCAGAAGTGACTTTAAGTGGGTACATGGAGGTGATCATTAAATGACATTGAATTCTTAGTTGAGCGAGTTATTGTATTGATATTTCTCATTCATCCTTTTTTAAAAACAAACAGAAACTGCAGGTATTAGGCACAGAGTCTTTGGAAGGCAATAGTTAACTAATAAGAATTTAAGAATTATTTGGTTTCCAAGGCAGTATCACTACAAAAGTAGATTGCCCCATCTTCCTTCCGAGGAGTGGCTGGTGGTTGGAAAACTTAAGGAATGCTATTTAGTAGACAATGTACCACATTTATGTAATAGATAAGTGAAGTCAGTTAGAAAATTCAAACAAAGCAAAATTAAGCCTTATTTTTAGTAGGTACTTTTTCTTCTGAAAGTTGATCTTCACTTCATATTAAGATGAGATAAAAACCAAACTTACCTGCAGAGTAGTAAGGGTTTCATCAAAGGACACTGGAGTAACCGTGCAGATAATACGTGTTTTCGCATTTCCTCCCAAGGAATTCTGGAGAATTCGTGTTAATTTGCTATCTCGATAATTTATGAAGCCACTTACCAAGAAATGGGTTTGGGAAGAAAAAAGTTAAGAGTTTTTATATAACAAAAGCAGCTGGTTTTTAATGCAGACCACTTAAGTTAGTCACAATTTAAAAATTTTACAGGTTACATGAAGCAGATCAAAGTACTAACTGAAAAATATTTAAAACAGAAGGTAAATTCAGTAGGTCATAGTCATACGTATAAGAAGCCATGCATGTTCAAAGAATCACAAATGCTTCTGAATATATGGAAGAAACCAGTATATTTATTTAATGTCACTGAAATATTACAATTTTCAATATAATTTAAAAAACTAACTAAAAAACTTAAGCATTAACAAGTAAGTGTTCAATGGGTTAAACTTACCCAACTTGTCCATCACTAAGTTTCTTGATCACTTGCCCCAAAATAAATAGGCTTCGATTTATATTACATCCTTCTTTGAGTCGCACACCTGAATTTATTAAAAAAAAAATATTAAAACTGAAATTGACCTCTGTACTAAATGATAAAGAAAAGAAAAGCCTATTTCCTAAGAGCCTAACTCCTAAATTCAAATAATTTCCCTGCTCCAACTCTTTAAAAGGATATGGACAACCATGGACTTATAACCAAATTAATATATCTAATTGCTTATTTTTTAATCATTTGAGCCCACATGGGTCAAACATCAAAAAGTAAAAAAAAAGGTGCATTCTAGAGGAGCTCCCTCTCACTCTTATCCTCCATTCTATCAGTTCCCATTCCTCCACCAGGAAATCACTGTTATTAGTTTGATTATTCTTCCAGAGATTTAAAAAATGCAAGTCAATATAAGTCAGTATGCATTAATTATCCCCCTTCTGTATTTTACATGAAGGCTTGGTGGCCCAGTGGTTAGAGTGCTCAGCTGCCAACCAAAGGTCAGTGGTTAGGCCCTACCAGCTGCTATGCTGGACAAGTTGTAGCAGTCTGGTTCTGTAAAGATTTACAGCTTTAGAAACTGTGGAGCAATTCTACTCTTTTCTTTAGGGTTGCTGTAAGTCAGAATCAACTAGCTACAATTGGGTTTTTTGGGTTTTCCTCGTTTACAAAAATAATAACTATACACACCCACTACTCTGTACTTTGCTTTTTTTTTTTTACTAGGTACCATATTCTGGAAAACTTTCCTTATCAATAAACATGGGCCTTTTTCATAGCATAGAATTCCTCTGCATGACTCTCTCAGAATTTACTCAGCTCCCTTCTGATTGACATGTAGTTTTTGACCTACAGATTATATGGAAACAACAACAACAACATTGTAACATAATTTTAATAGGCTGTTATATTTCTAATTAACAACTCAGCTTAAATGACAAGCATTTATTTCTTAGTCATAGGACTAAGGACCTACTACTGGCTTGGTGGATATTGGCCAGGTTCAGCTGATGGCTCCCTTTCAGGATGAATTCAGGCCAGCTTCACAAATTTCTTATCTTCCTTAGATCATCAGCAAGTTCCTCTTGTGGCCGAAGGAAGGAGCTCAAGTGTGAACTAAACTATTCAGAAGAACGTTTGCCCAATTTTCTATTGGTCTTTTCCTTGTTCATATAAAGGAACTCATTATATATTAAAAGAGATTAGCTAACTGATGGTGATATAAGCTGCATATTTTCCCCGTTCATCATTTGCCTTTGCCTTGTGATCTTTGCCATACTGAAGGTTTTATTTTTAGTGTAGTCAAATGAATGTATCAAGCCTTTAAAGTTTCTGGACTTTGTGTTATAGTTAGAAATGTCTTGCTCACTGCAAGTTACTTCCAGTATCTTTTTTAAAAAAATAATATTTCTTTGTGTTTTTGGTGAAAGTTTGCACAGCAAATTAGGTTGCCATTTAATAATGTCTACACAAATTGTCCAGTGACATTGGTTACGCTTTTCACAATGTGTCAACATTGTCATTAGTTTTGTTCTGGTTGTTCTGTTCCCAGGAATCTAGTTTCCCTGCCCCCTTACTTTGTCATCTTTGCTTCAGGGTAATCGTCAATTATCAGTTCTCAAATCGATGATTTTTTAAAGGAGAGCAGTACACATGGGTGATATTCTTTATTTTAATCTGTTATTTAGCTAAAAGGTGTCCTTAAAGGGATAGTTTCATAAATTTATGGTTCTTTACATTGAAATCTTCAGGCCTTTGATAATGAATCCCTGAGGTACGGTATAAAACTTTTTTTTCCACCTAATTTTTTTTCTTCTCCAAATGGCTACCAACTCACTCTATCTTTTTCTCACAAATCTTAAGAATGACCTTTATCATATTTTAAATTCTGTATGTATTTGGGACTCTTTCTGGACTTCCTATCCTGTCCCACTGGGCTAGCTATTCACACATTAGTATCAGATTGTTTTAATGACTAGGGAATTATATTTTACTACCTTATAGGGCTAAATTCCAACTCTATTTTTTTTTCCCCAGAAATTTTCTGGCTAGTTTTGTTTTTATTTTTCCATATAAAATTCAAAATCAACTTGACCAGTTTAAACAACACAAAAAAGTCTTCTTTATCTTTTAATCAGGATTGTATTAAATTTAGAAATAAATATAGAGAAATTTTATATCTTTATGATTTTGAATGTTTCCATCAAATATCTCAGTATGCTTTTCCACTTTTTCAAGCATTCACTTGTGTCCCTCAGGACTGTTTTAAAGTCTTCTTTATATTAGCTCATGTATAATTTTTATCAAGTTTCCTCCTAGATATTGCATCTTTTAAGTCATTAAGTTAAGGGAAACTTTTTGTTCAGTAAATATTGTAACTCATTGTTTATAAGCTCTTAATGTCTGTAAATTAATTTTGTATCTTACTGCCTTCCTGAATTTCCTTACTGATTATGAAAGTTTAGATGTCTTTATTGTACTCTTATGGGTTTTACCCAGCTACACAATTCTATCAATTGCAGAGTTTTAGTTTTTTAATTGCTGCTATAGCAACTGAAAGTAAACAGCCAGATACAAACGCTGATTTTTATGTTCAAGACTTTCATCAGAAAATTATTATTATTTTCATCAGTTTTTAAAATGCCTGGTAGCACTTTTTATCATGTAAAAGAACAGGTTGCCAGTAAGACCCAGCACATTTTATGAGTTTTTATTACCTTCAGCTCCTGTTTGAGCAGCTCTTTCACTGCCAGCAAGATCAACCAAATTCTGTAAGAAAGATGAAATAAACCTTTAATGATAAAATTTGAACTCTCAAAACATTTTAAATAATAGTATATATGAGTATCTCATCTGTATCTGTCTACCATCCCACTGTTTAGGCACTTCCCTTTCTCTCGGACAAAAATCGGTCTCTTCTTTACGATGTATCTTACCTAATGCTGACAAAATAGGTTTTCTATTTCCTGCATGAAGTCCAACCAATGTGTTAGCTTAAAGAGAGGCCTTCCCTTACTACCCAATCCCAAAACCCCATCCTGTCCCTCCCTCTTCCATCACTTTAGATTACTGATATTAAACTTATGATATATTTCTTGTTTGCTTTCCCTTTCTTCAAACTAACTTCCCACTCTCCTCACCCCCACCTCATGCAGAGGCTCCTTGAAAGCAGGAAACTTATTTCTCTGGTTCACTGTTGTATCCCCAGCACCAAACACACTGCCTGGTTTATGATAGGTAGTAACTGTTTTTCAACACTATTTGTTAAAATGAGAGGTCTATACCTTTACAGGTACCACAGAAAAGGGAACCAGTAATGCAAAGATCAAGGAACTCGGGATAGAAAAAACAGCCAGTACACCTGGTAACAAAACAGAAATGAGCTGGGTGTGTTCAAAAAACAGAAAGGGTAGTGTGGCAGAGGTGGACAAATGGAAAAGAAGGGGCTAGATTATGCAGGGCTTTTTAAGCAAGAGTAAGAATTCTGGATTTGTTTTCCTAAATGCAATGGGAAGTCACTGGAAGGTTTCAAGCAAGGAGAGGTATAACCTGGTTTAAGTTTCTGAAGAGTCAACTGTAATCTCTGAGTGGAGTACGGATTTGAGAGGGGTAAAAGACAGCAGGGAGCCCAGTTTGGAGGCTGGTGCAGGAATCCAGGTGAGAGATGATGGCAGCTTGGGCAAGAGTGGTAACAACACTCTTGTAACAATACCAGCATTATCTGGTCAGTAAATAGTGGAGGTATGTCTTCTTTAATCCCAGAGAACAGCACTGCACTGAAAACATGGTAAACGGTCAGTAAATACTCTTCATGTGCTAAGATAAAAGTCAGAGCTTTATGGAGACTTTCAGAGATGGGCAGGAAATTAGGTACTCTTGTTTAATAGTCCTATCTCAGATACTTCTTTCTCTAAAACACACAAAGAATTCTAATTTTTCTTGCATAGTAGCTACCACAGATGACCTAGATCCATAATGAAGGGGTGAAGTGGTGCTGAATGCAGCATTTTTTAAGGTACAAAGATGGAACAAGCCTTTGTGTTTAAATAACAAAGAGGCCCAATCTATCTATAAAAGAGAGTTGGTATACAGGAGCAAGAAGTAAAGTTTGGTTAAGAAAAGCCAGATCCTTCCTTGGGAAGTGACATAAGGAAAGCTGTGCTGAGATAATATTAGCTGTCTATATGATAGACTGCAGAAGGAAGACTAGAACTACAGAGGCCAGGTTCCAGAAGACTGATGCAGTAATTCAAGAGATGAGAACCTAAATGAGTAGGATACCAAGTGAATGTTTTAAGGCACAATCAATAAGAAACTGGTAACTGACAAAGGGGCAGGAAAAGATGAGCCAAAATTGACTTCAGTTTCAAGCCCACATGACCAGATAATGCTGGTATTGTTATAAAGAATGATGGTTCATTATGTTAGGAAGAAATTAAGTTGATTTTAGATATACTTGAGTTTGAGATAATAATGGGAAATACAATTATAATAATCTTTAGGCAGACATGAATTAGAGAGTCTAGATAAAATTAAGTATCTGGCAATCATCAACATAGAAATGATGGCAGAATATCTGAAGGCAAGAACTTCAAGTAAGAAAGAACAGAGAACACGCCCATGTTTTTGTTAGGAGGGTAGGAGAAAAGAAGCCACAGAAGGGAACAGAGAAGGAACAGCTAAGAGAACATGGATATTGTTGTTATGTTGTTGTTGTTAAGTGCCGTCGAGTTGTTTCCGACTCATAGCGACCCCATGCACAGCAGAACGAAACACTGCCCGATCCCGCACAAGCCCCACAATCCCTGCTATACTCGAGCCCAT